GATATCATTTGAATATACAAAGTCATCTAAATATTTCCTTTGTTAGATGATAGATCTGTACCGCTTTCAGAAAGAAATTATGACGTGGGAGTAGGTAAATAATATTAGCATTTGTGACGAAAGTTAAGGGGATTGTAATGATATTACCTAAAATATTTATGTGTATCTGGGACATTGATAACATTAATTGGCACCATTCCAATATTAAATCAGACTTCTGTGGTTCCTGCAACTCTACTAAACCTAGGTGGTTGATGATGTCACTAATCGCGAAGGGCCTTATATCATAAAGCAAATTTTACAGATATGATCAGTAACAGAAATGGATCTTTTCTGGAGCTGAAGCAGGTATATCAGTCACAGAGACCGGTTACTCTAAACTGACCGAACAATGGTCTAGAATGGCTATTTTCTGCACCATCAGAGCTAATCGCTTGTCATTATACTATGTAAAATCTTGATAAAATCACCATTAGAATTGACCTTTTAGTAGAATAATTGACCGGGCGGTGTTCATCAAACGAGAAAAACAGATGAGTACGAATGATAGTTCCACTCGGTAATACCTAGTGAGATCACCCTGATAAGATAGTCAACCAGGCCTTTTTGATGTTTTGTTCATTTTTTCACGGGAACGCGCTGTAGATTATCTTTATTGGGGGACAGTTAAGAACACAAAAGTGTGCATTAAGGCATGTTTCGGATTAATTTTTCTCTTGTCCCTGTGATTGAAAATGGCTACATCTCGCCAGCTGGACACAAATTAAAGCGCAAAAATTAGTTCTCTTTTGCTTAAGCATATATTTTGTCACATGACGTTGCAAGTCTTCATATAATGCGGACCTTTGGGAGCCGCGGTGGCTGAGTGAGTTAGACGCTTGTTCACTAATCTGAAGGTCCTGGGTTCAATCCCGGCATAGGTCAGGATAATACCTTCGGATTTTTCCCAGTACCAGAACACCAATTAGCTGTGAGTTCACATTAAATCATGAAATCAGACTATGATCGTGTCTAAATAGGTTAATAGAAAAGACCCATTTTGATTTTCGACTCTGAACAAGATTCTAATTATAGATAAACTGATCCTTGTCGCTCTAGCTGAATCACACCAGTCTATCCCTTATCTCATATCCTGAATAAAAATCAAATTTATTTTCTAATTTTACCTGTCAGTGTTGACTTGTGGAAGATCGTTATTCAGTGAATTAAAATAGATTTTGTTGATTTGAATTCAAATTTGTTCACCCTTCCTGAACACCTTTATTCATTTGTCATCTCATTAGGCGAAAGTTATAGTCGTGACGAGTTTGGTCGGTTACACTGTTTGAATATTAGCGAACGCTTGGTATCACTTTTCAACTGTATTTGGAAGCTCATTTGGCGGAAAAGGGCTTTGGTGAAGAGTTTGGTCGGTTACACTGTTTGAATATTAGCGAACGCCTGGTATCACTTTTCAACTGTATTTGGAAGCTCATTTGGCGAAAAAGGGCTTTGGTGAAGAGTTTGGTCGGTTACACTGTTTGAATATTAGCGAACGCCTGGTATCACTTTTCAACTGTATTTGGAAGCTCATTTGGCGAAAAAGGGCTTTGGTGAAGAGTTTGGTCGGTTACACTGTTTGAATATTAGCGAACGCCTGATATCACTTTTCAACTGTATTTGGAAGCTCATTTGGCGAAAAAGGGCTTTGGTGAAGAGTTTAGTCGGTTACATTGTTTGAATATTAGCGAACGCCTGGTATCACTTTGCAACTGTATTTGGAAGCTCATTAGGCGAAAGGGGTTTTGGTGAAGAGTTTGGTCGGTTACACTGTTTGAATATTAGCGAACGCCTGGTATCACTTTTCAACTGTATTTGGAAGCTCATTTGGCGAAAAGGGGCTTTGGTGAAGAGTTTAGTCAGTTACATTGTTTTATATGTTAGCGAACGCCTGGTATCACTTTGCATCTGGCTTTTTCAGCTCACTAGGCAAAGTGACCTTCCGATTGTGACCACTTACATTTACTTTTCCACTGGGTCTGTCAACTCACTCGGTAAAAGTGTGCGTTAACACACCAAGTGAAAAAATATTGACAAATAACGTCACCTTGGCGAAGCCGTTCACGCTTTACATTTATCTGTTTTCTGCTTTGATTTGACTTTCGGAAATTTTTAGAACGGCATTCCGATTGGAAAGTCTTATCAGTGGCATAACCAATGTTTAAGTGATTTTCATCGTGTAAATGTCTTACCTGTATGAAAATAAATCCTCTAAACTATGTACCCTTAAACATTTCACAAGCGAAATTTGACACAAAATTTAGACTGTTGAAATTTAAAACTCATAATTAGTTAACCTTATTCTTTACCACCGTGCGTTCTTTACACAAAAGAAAGAATTGATTTCGTATTTCGTTAGATTAATTAGGACTATGTCATCGAAGTACTAAGCAACTGTTAACTTAATTACAAAGAGATAGGCCTCTATATGGTTAATTAATTATACCTTTACGACATTGACATACTTATTAATGACAATCGTCCGCGAATCAGACCTACTAATGGTATGTTTACGACAACCGATTTGTGGTAATAATTAAGATATAGGTACAAGTATATCATTTTATAACGGTATAACCTTTTATCACGCCGAATTTACGATTTATTCGTCGGCCGGGTGTTACTTTTAAAAATTATACTATTATATTCTAAAGTTTTAGATTATCTGCTAAATTTTATATTAGTTTTTGGACTGATTTGAATTGATATCCGTCACTCGTAACCTTTGACCTAAAAATCCGAATTATTCTCTGAACACGAACCCACACATCAATCGCCAATAGCAGACGATGATCCAAACGAATTCCATTTGTAAATTTTATCAATCCATCTCGCTGTTTTTTTTTTCTATTATTCTTTTGTACAACTCAGGAAATATTTGGTAATCCACGATGTCGAAACGAAAGAAAGCTTATTTGAGAATAATAAGGTATCGTCTAGAAGGCCATCGTATTGTAGCTGTCACGTCCGTCCGTGTCCATTGCGTCGGTAATCCGGACTTAATCCTTCTACGTCAACTTGTTGATATTGATGCATTCTGTCAACTCTGTGAAATATCAATTGGAAAGACTGTTGTCGCTCTGGCTCCGAAAGGTTTAACGATGCCGAGACGGATTGCAATGAAATTGAAATAAATTTACAAGTCTTGCAAGAAGTCGAAGCTTTTTAGATTTATAGTTTGCAGTGTGAGTTAATTACGGAACTATAGTGTTTCATTATGTCATTTAGCATTTTCTCAATGACTTTACCGATCATGCTACTTTAAAACATTTTCAGCTCTTGGAATAAAAATGGAAATATGACGCAAAACATCAATTTATTTCAAGGGATTGTTAAGCGTTTTTCTTAAAGCGGAAATTCTGATAGCCTCAATTTGCTCTATTCCAATTTCCAGTCAAAAGTATGTGGTTCCTGCAATTCTACAAAATATAAGTGTTTGATGACGTCACTAACCGCAAAATATGCTTGTATCACAAAAGGCTTTCGTGATTAGTGACGTCATCAAGCACTTAGTTTTTAGTGGAATTGAAGGAACCACAGACATCTGATTGAAAATTGGAATGGTGCAAATTGATGCTATTGGTGTTCCTGATATACATAAAAAAAAAATTTAGACAGCCTCCTTACAATAGCTTTAGCATACTTTATTTTATTCTGATCGGGATTCATGTGTGGTTGTGCGCATGTGGGATGGGGGAGTTGGTAAGATACTCACTCCAGTACCAATGGGTAAAAACCAGTAAAACTGTGTGTTGAAGAAGGTGCATGGGGAGAGGAGGGGACTTAGAATTATAAGATACCCACACAGACAGTTGAATGGGTAAAATGAAATAAAGACGTCTAGTGAACATCCTTTAATAAAACCATCAGTAGTTGACAAATAACAACAAAACAACTCCAAATTTCTCATCATTACGAATTAATTACAATCGAAGATATTCAATTACAATTAATGCCTTACTAATTGCTTGGCCAGTGTTTACGTGGATTTAAGTCCCTATTAATTAGAACTTCACACCTTGTAATTAAGCATCTAATTAGTCAGTAAGGCGGGAAACTAATTACAGGTCAGTTTGTTTTATATTTGCTATATAGCAATAATGCAGTAAGACGTCATATACCTTATATATTAAGACCTCGGCGGCGGCGTTTGATCTTTTTCTTAGAAACATCTTTACTTTAATTGAAGAATTTTGGTGGGAATCCGCCAAATAAACAGTATAAGTTAATGCTACTAGAGTTGCATTAAAGGGGCAGATTCGCAATCCCTTTGACCATCCGTTCCTTAGTCTCAGAACGGGATTTTTATTTTTAGCTGAGCTAATATTGTTCACAGCTCACTGTCGAAATTTGAGACTTCAAATCCATGTGTGTCTAGAATTATCTGCGTTTAAAAGTTAAAAGGGCGACTCGCCTTTTTTTGAGACTGTGCACATATGGAAAAGACATATTTAAATCAAAAGTTGAATTACTAGTTTTGGGTATTTAGGTAATTAGGCGATTTTCTCACATTTTTAGTACTACTGAAGACTAATAACATATATTCAAGACCAAATCAACCTCCGAAAATGGCGAATCTGTCCCTTTAATTTAAAAGACTGGTCTTAAATCTCGTGATTGTTTCAATTCAGATTTTTTTTTCTGAAATTTTTCAATTTTTTCTACAAGAGAAAATTGAAGATGTCAAGTCAAAAAGTAATAAATTGGATGTTTCAATTTTTTGTAGTTTGACGTTTGAATTTGACAGTAAAGAACATAATATGCGGGTGTATTTTTAAATATATTTCAATTTACTGCATACAAGGTTTCGACACGATTCCAGGTAAAATTTTCAGGTAGAATAGGGGAATATTGTAAACAAAACAATGTAACTCCATTACATTTTTTTTTAATTTTACAGAGTATCGAACAAAATCAATTCTAATTTAATAAGCCTGACGTATCAAAAGAAAAACGAAATAAATGGTATTACCAAATATTATTTAGACATCACCAAATATTATTCAGTCGTCACCAAATATTATTCAGATATTACCAAATATTATTCAGATATTACTAAATATTATTCAGATATTACCAAATATTATTCAGATATTACCAAATACTATTCAGACATTACCAAATATTATTCAGATATTACCAAATATTATTCAGATATTACCAAATATTATTCAGATATTACCAAATATTATTCAGATATTACCAAATATTATTCAGATATTACCAAGTACTATTCAGATATTACCAAATATTATTCAGATATTACCAAATATTATTCAGATATATTATTCAGATATTACCAAATATCATTCAGATATTTTCACAAATTTTCAGCTTAAAACAATATACCCACTGTTACTTGATCATAAGGTATCTCTTTCATTAAATGAACATAATTGGGACATAAAAGACGTGTTAATGGTCGCTGAAATATATTTTTAATTTCATCAAATAGCGCCCCATTCTTTAGATATTGTGCGCTAATGACTCTCTCTGTGGGTCTCCCAGCTTATTTATTAGATAAAGCAAAGAAGAATCAAAATATTAGATGAAAAGCCAGGGGATAACTGCAGAAGAACTAATGGATTGATTTGTAAAAGTTAATGCAGTTTTCACCACAGGAAGTACTCTTCAACCACGGAGGTAACAATAGTCTGTTACAGAATAGACCATTGTTGATTTTCAATACTGGAGAGCTCAGCATGTCGTCGCTCCGTCGTTGGAGAAACTGGTCGAAATGATTTATGGGTGAATGTTTAAATATGGCTTGATTACAACCAATTTGAATTTGTTTATTATATTTTTATCTTTGATAGTTTGTATTATGAATAAGTAGACCCATAAAAGAGCTAAATCCTATCTTCGGATCTCTGACTTTTTAATGGAATTTTGATTGATAACTTTTGGAGAGTCCACATGTCTGAATATATTCTATAACTAAATGGAAAATAAAACAGAAAGGAACATGTCCTCTCTGATTTTTGCTTTTATTTGAAGACAACAAAATTCCGTTTGAAATATCAAAATATGAATATGAAATTCCAAATTATTGCCAAACCTAAAAGTAAGACGTAAAACTTCGTTTCATTTCATTTCATTGTATTCCTGATAAAGGGTACGATATTCATATGGGGGGTATGTATATAAGCGGCTCTTTTGACTTCGTCATTATCTACATAACAAAATATAATAGGCCCTACCACCCAAATGAGGCATTGTTATACACATGCTTATTCATGTGCGATTTCTGCTAGTGTCCCAATCGCAGAGTGGAATCAAACTAATATGTTTTAAATTGACTGCATGTCATTGTATAGAATTATATAGTGTCTATTAAACATAGATATTATGCGATAACACACGAAGAGCTCTTGTGTTCTTACTAACTACAATAGACTGCTCAAGGAGAGCCACAAGCGGTGTTGTTTGAGATTTTGATTTTTAAAAAAGTAAGTAAAATGGCTAATGATACGTATCGATATATCACCTGTCTATTGAGCGTCGCCCGAGCCGAACAGCCCTAAATGAGACCCAAATGATGGAGCATTGTTTGGTGATCTATATAAAGGGCAGTGCGAGACTATTCAAAGTAAATAGACCCTCGTTATAAAGGGATTGAATATCGTCAAACAGCCTTTCAATCATCTATGAAAAGAGGGGATGCGATTTTGAAAAGAGGGCTCAAAGATTAAATACAGTCACGTGTGAATGGTTCCCCGTGTCCTTAACTCGTTAAGCCAAGCCAATAATTGCCCAATGAAGTCTTTAAAATTCTTTTTATGAAAAAACTCAAAGGTGAAGAAAAGTTGTTTTTAAAAATGAGATAGGCGCCTGCCTATTAAATTTGGAATCACCTCTGTCTTTTCTGTCATGAGAATGTCAGTCTTAAACTCAGTTTTAATTATCCCAATAAATTCTGCCATTTTTCTGATGTCCTGACACGCAGCACGAATTGACAATTAAATTGAAAATTGTTTTTAGAAAAATTGCGTCCCTTTGAGTTATCTTGGCACCTTTTTATTATTGTATAATCATCGAAATTATATTTTTACCAGTCCAACAATAGAAAACACTTGGCACTTTGAATTGCTTTGAAAAGAGTGTCGCCGGCACAAAACGTATAAAACGCCAAATAATTATTTTGATAAATACAAATAGCCTCCTGAAATTATAAAGTATTGAAAAAAATAACACATTAATAGGTGTGCATCAAGGAAATGCTTTATTTCCTTATCTGTTCATTGAATCTATGAATAAAATTGGTGTCTCAAGGAAATTGTTGGTTTCACCGAGGCTTTCTATGTTGTTCATATGTTTATTCTTCATATATGCAGTTTTGATATATATATATATATTCGCCATCCGTTTAACCAAATTATTTTGTTAAGCTAATCAGTAATTTTCCGAGTCTTCTTTTTTTGCGACTCTGTCATGTATAGAAAAGACATATAGAAATAGAAAGTGAAATTGCTAATTCGAGGTTTTTTTGCGCGTTTGTACATTTCTAGATTTCATCAATGATATATATATTACGTCCTCGTATATTTATTGCATCTTGTACAGATTTAACATAATCTCAGCACTCAGTCAAAAGCAATTCTTATCTGACAGAATAATAGGTCTCTGCGTTGACAATAGTCGATGTAAAACTTTCGAGAAAAGAAGTCTTCGCTGCCCCACCCAAAATATTTTGTGTTACCGCGGCGTATAACCAGAGTTTAAAAAAAAGACCGACTATGAGATGCACACTGAAAAATGAAAAGTTACGTTCACGAAAAGGTACTTTTTAGTAGTTAGGGTCCGTTTCTTTCCAACGAAATATTAAATAGTTTGTGTACTGCATTTTTCAATTTGATGACGAAATACAATCGGAAAGATGAAAAAATATATATACAGCTTAAGGTGCTATAAAGCAGTAAGGATTCGTTTGTTTCTTGCTGTTCATTAAATTGTTACAAACGATTAGTTCATAAGAACTCTGTAGAAGTATATGTGTTGGTACAATGTTGAACTATGTTGTACATACACAAAACACAATACGATTTCACACCTCACACATTACACACAATACAAAATACACCTTACTTGATACATTTTGAAGAGTGAACGCAATGTTACACCCCATTTCTTTCATTGACGGTGTCGTAAACGCCTTTTATCTTTAACCAAATTGTTTTCTCGTTGCGACCTTCATTCATTGTTTCGTAATAACCTCATAATGGCCCGATCTGCGAACAGCTCGGCTGGATTTTTTTCAAGTACGATGATTTTTATATCGGATCATAAACCATAATGTTTTATAAATCAAATTTGCGTTTTCAGTTAATCTTCTTCATTAATTCTCAATTTTTAATGATTATTGGAGATATTGAAAGGATGCCGACAATTTGTACGCTTAGGATGTTCATTTCTATCTCATTTTAAACGAAAAGACTAATTTTAAACTTAACAAATGAGACTTAATTAGGTATTGCCAAATCTGTTTTTGTTTTTTGTTTATTAAGTGTGGCCAAAAGCAAGAAAACTTTGAATTAAATTGTACAATAACTTTTCAAGATTAACTTTTTGCTGTAGTTTATTGTATCTTATTACAATGATTCTTAACATAAGGTGCCCATACCTTCTGTTGAATATGAACTTACTTACTCTAATCTACAACATAAGATATATGCCTAACAGTGTGCAATGAGGAAAACTCTAGGTGAAATTCACCTTCGTATTATCGCTCTAGTAGTTGGAGAAGGAAGGCTTATACCACTGTCTTGGCTAAATTTTCTTCGTTACACTCTGTGTGTGATAGCACGCGTCTCTTTTAGACTAATAATCTGGAATAGAAAAATGGAACAGAAACGTGTTTCATTTTATTTCACGGAGTTCTATACTGTTCCGTATAAGTTAAGGTCGAGGTTCCCAACATTTTTAGAAACCGAAATCAGAAGAAAAAACAAAGCCAAATACTTTACTAAATACATCGTTATCATTTATGATACATTATCGTTGACCATAGAAGTTCGGATTTCTAAACCCGGATACGGATAAAGCGTCTAGACTTAATAAACTGAGATCCTGTCTACAACAGACTGTACAATTATGTGCAACAAGTAGAACTTAAAACTTATTTCATATCATTTGTAACACTTGTTGTATTTGAACACAGAAGAAGGGGCTGTCATTGCATGGTTATACGACAGTTGCCACTCTTAACCCAGTGTCCTCCCACACCCCAACTTCAGCCCAGGTTTCTGTCTGCTATCGGGTTTATCATATATAAAATCCAGAAATAAATTCAAAATATTTTAATCAATATAAATATCTTCATAAACAAAATAACAGTTGTAAAAAATAGTACACATATTATATAATATTCGAGATCAATAATTGTAAGGCCACGGGTGAAAATACTGAAATGATTCCAAGATCTTGTTCATGAGAAAATTGATAATGAAAATGATAACAACAAAATGTTCATGACTTAAATTGACTTAGATGTAAAATGACTTAGAAAATGGAATAATGCCTAGGAATAGAAGTTACACTTGTTAAAAAAAGAACATGAAAAAGAACTAATACTTTATAATTAGAAAATAAACGATGTTTTATGCCATTTTGATAAAAACAATTCTGCTTTGAAATTTCATCAATACAATACAGCAACAATAAAGGCCACAAGGGGTTACCTTGCTTTATGCCGTGTTAAAATTAATAATTCGAACTCCGAAATTAAGTAATTAGCAAAATTATAAAGATTTGATTTTAATTTTTAATTCTTAAATTTAAGTAAATTGCATTTGTTAAAGAAATATTGAGTTTTAATTTGCACTTGAAAAATTTAATTGCGGATCAAAGGTAGTTATTCTCGAGAGATCAAAAACACATGAAACCTTTTTTTTTTTCTTTCATTCAGTCATACATACAAAATAAATAATGTTTTCTCCATTCACACGACGCAGATATCCTTCAAATTTTAGCAAATGTCTTTAAATTCAATCGGAATAACAAAACCATAAACAATGATATTTCACTTTGTCTTTTGTTTAACCACATGTCTTTTTCAGTTTTTCACACAATAATCTCCTTTTCTTTTGGGGTATTTTTAACGATAAAAATGACAGGTTCCTTAGTCATCTTAACCCTTTCCCTTTCTGCTTCAGTTCCTTCACGATACGACGTATTGTTTTCGCGGCCCTTATTCTCCCCTTGACACTTGTGGGTGGAAAAAACAGTTGTTCGTGTCACTGAACCAGAATCGTATTCGAACAAATCTTGGGAAAGTTTTACAGGACGACCGTCTCAAAAACACGAAACCATCGTGCATGAAGCACCATTGTAAATTACACCATTGAAAATTGCTTTTCAAGAATCACAAGCACTAGAAAATGTCTCCTGGTTCTCTCTGTTGGAATTCTCACACAACTTGCAGAAGTTCTGACAATCCTTGGATGTAATCGATGGCGGTTTTTAAAGTGTCTATTCTGGATAATCTCGATTTGCTGTCTTTTTTGGGTAGACTTTTCTTCAAGGCATCGAAAGCGTCGTTGAGATAAAACATCCTTTTGCGTTCTCGGAGGTTAGCTGCACCTCTTTGAACTGGGGTCTGCTTTCGTCGTCGTCGTTTCTTGGTGGGTTGAGACGTGGATGGGGCTGGTTGTTGGAACTGTGAAATAGGTAAATGTGCGTTGGTGATGAAGCTTGGACAGAATGTGTTGTTCGGTGGAAGACAATGTTCAAAATTTGCTGGTGGTGCCCAATTTCCTGGTAGAGAGTTGGAATCATCGCTATAGCAACCGGAATCTGACTTGTCTGTGGACACTTCGCTGAAAGATGGTGACACAGAATGCACGTCCATTCCCATAACTTGTTCCGGAAAATAACCATCATAATTACTGGATTCGCTGTACATGTTGATCGGCTGGATCTCTGGACACATAGCAGAGGAATCAAGGTCCGTCAGAAAGCTGGACACATCCGACCACTCTGATGAGGTGTTGATTTCTTCTTGCTGGTAGGCTACGGTAGAATACATGATTAAAATCTTAGTCCTTGGATCCGAAATTCAAAATTGAATTTGGCAAAACTCAATCCGGCAGCACACCTGATACAAACTGTAACGTTGTCTGGTAAACTTGATGTCGTCTGCTATTGTAGGCTGTCAATGACGTAGTGATCTAAAGCGAGGTTGTTTTACTCTGATGATGTCCTTCCTCTTATAACTGATAAATTGAATCTGATTTCCGCCTCGATCACACCTGATTTATACCTTTCTAAATTAAATAGCATTTCAATATCCTGTATATTGTCACCTGGGGAACTCGCAATTTGATTGACGGAAAATGGCACGCGTACGACACGCATCGGCGAATAAGGGCGGAGTTTAATGATTGACGTGATCACAGGTAAATAGTAGTTTGTGAGTCGTAACGGTTGAACGTTTTTTAACACCTTGTTTATTGTTTGTTTTAAAGTCATGTTAAGGCCCAGGTCACACCCATGTATCAGGTTTGGCCAGGTAGCTTCATTTTACTGGCTATAGTTAACTGTCACTATACGCCAAGATTAATTGCATCTCGTTAGCAATATTTACCCAACTTGTTCTTGCTGTCAGCAAAATGAATTCATGCCAAACTTTATTCAAGTTTACCATGACTTTATGCACTTGTCAGTTTTAATTAAAAACCGGGGCCGACTTTTGACTATTGAAATTTATTTTCTATCACTTTACTGGTATAAAAACGAAACGTTTCTCTTATGTCCCTCTAAACAATATCTTCGAGAAAAATATGTAAGCTGTTATTATTGGAAATTTCCAACCATGTACATCTAAAAGTGAGAAACTACACTATTTTGATATGAATTGTTGTGTCCATCTCCCACCATCTTGAATTATGTATTATTTATTTTGTTAAAAATGTAAAAAATGCTTAATGCGGAAAGGCGTTTGGTAATAAACTATATATATGAATCATCATATGTTGGGTTTGGGAAGTCCCGGAACACCAAAAGTCGCTATGGAGTTTCCCCTCTTTGGCCCTCACTTTGAACTCCCTTCGGGGGCCGCGGTGGCTCGGTGAGTTAGACGCTTGCTCGCTAACCTGAAGGTCCGAGTTCAATCCCGACATAGGTCGAAATAATACCTTCGGATTTTTCTACCCGGTTTCCCCCTGTCAGTGATGCAGGTAAGAGGGGCTGACATGGAAAAAGCGTCTAGTCGTTCGGATGGGGCGATAAACCGAGGCCCCGTGTGCAACAGGCTGTGCACGTTAAAGATTCCTCGACAGTTGGATATCGAAAACGAGCAGGCTAATGCCGCTGTCCTGGAAAAATTTCCCTCATTGCACCCTGCTTGGCGTTGCCCGTCTTCATGAGCCCACATGGTGCAGAAAAGTAGGACGTAATACTCCATTCATTTCCTTTCATTTGAACTCCCTTCATTTTTCAAATTTTAATGAATGGTCATGTAATCTTTAAGAGGCTATTCTTGAAATCTTCTTCTTGGTGAAATTTGCAAATGCAAACTACGACGTTAAACTAAATTTAATTTTACCAACCATACCTTTGTCTCAGATACGGGATTTCTTCAGCTTAGCCAATCAGTAATAGTGTTCACAGCTCACCGTCGAAATTAGAGTCTTCAAATCCACGTGTGACAAGAATTATTCGCGTTGGAAAGTTAATTGAAATAACGACTATAAAAATAGAAAGTGAAATTCCTAGTTCGAGGTATTTTTGAAGAAATTATGCGGTTTCCGTACCTATCTAGTACTTTTGAAGACTTTTTACATTTAAGACCCAAATCAATCTCCGAAAATCGAGAATCTGTCCCTTTTATTTAATGTATGTTTATAGTTTATATTTATGATTTCCAACGAGACACAGAAAATACTGATGTAAAACTCATTTTTTTCATATATCTAAATATAACCGCAAATTTTATGTGTACAATTTTCTCAAATAAAAATTTAAGTAGGGCCTAATAAAGCTAAAATTTCTGAATTTATTGCGAGGTGCCAATGATAGTTATTGTTGACAGTGTCGATTTCAGTTTTTATGGTTTAATTACTGTCAACATAGACCTATACATTGATTTGAAAGTGTCAAGTTTTTTATGATTCAGAATCAGAAATACTATTGGAACCATAAACAGCAATTCTGCCATTTAACATTTTTTGAGACCGAAGATTGAAGATTCAACAGGAATTTTGTTCAAATGTAAAACAACTTTTGCTAAACTTTCAGTCCTATGCCCAAAAAAGAGGGGCGAGGAAAAAAAGGATTGACCCCTAAACACCGTACATCGTTCCCCACCGGATATATTACTTGCCCCTCCGAACAATCAGTCTGGCTACGGGTCTGCTTTTCAGCTGCCGTTCACGTGCCTATAGACTAAATATTTTGATGATTCTTTTGATCTACTTGCTTGAACTTGTCTGTGCCCCCATCTTTACTAGTGACATTCGTCTTTGATTGTGGTTACCGGCATAGGTCGAGATAATACCATCGGATTTTCAACCCGGTTTCCCCCTGTCAGTGATGCAGGTGAGAGGGGCTGATATGGAAAAAGCGTCTAGTCGTTCGGATGAGACAATAAACCGAGGCCCCGTGTGCTACAGGCTGTGCACGTTAAAGATCCATCGACAGTTGGAAATCGAAAAAGAGCAGGCTAATGCCGCTGTCCTGGCAAAATTTTCCTCACTGCACCCTGCATGGCGTTGCCCGTCTTCATTAGCCCACATGGTGCAGAAAAGAAGGACGTAAAACTCAATTCATTTCATTTGATTGTGGTTAGGACTTACGTATAAGTATAATTATTCGCATTCATTTCAAGTTTTCAGTTTGTCGTGAACTTTATGTCATTGTTTCCATGGGCAAAATGTGGGAAAAGAGAACGCAAAATTAAAATCAATCATATAAAATAAAGAGGAAGGGTTTCAAATGATCCCCTTGTCTTAAACCTTACTAAGCACTTGCGTTAGTTTCCCTATATCAATATCATTTGTGCAATATCGAAAGAAGAAGGGTTTCAAATGTTCGCTGTGCCTAATACCCAATTTATAAGTGAACTTTTAAGACGAAAATTATGCTTACGCTAAATGAAAAATGAATTGAAAATTTTATTTTAGAAGCATATCTTGTCTACGCTAAGAATTGGGAAATTAAATAAAATTGAATGATACATGGATTTTTACTGTTAAAATTGTGCTCAATACATCAATTATAGAGCGATATAGAAATACAACTGTTCAATACATCAATTGTAGAGCGATATAGAAATACAACTGTTCAATACATCAATTGTAGAGCGATATAGAAATACAACTGTTCAATACATCAATTGTAGAGTGATATAGAAATACAACTGTTAAAATAGTGCACTCAATACATCAATTGTAGAGTGATATAGAAATACAACTGTTCAATACATCAATTGTAGAGTGATATAGAAATACCACTGTTAAAATAGTGCACTCAATACATCAATTGTAGAGTGATATAGAAATACAACTGTTCAATACATCAATTGTAGAGTGATATAGAAATACCACTGTTAAAATAGTGCACTCAATACATCAATTGTAGAGAGATATAGATATACCACTGTTAAAATAGTGCACTCAATACATCAATTGTAGAGAGATATAGATATACCACTGTTAAAATAGTGCACTCAATACATCAATTGTAGAACGATATAGAAATGCCACTGTTAAAGTAGTGCTCAATACATCAATTGTAGAGCGATATAGAAATACCACTGTTAAAATAGGGCGCAATGCATCAATTGTAGAGCGATATAGAAATACCACTGTTAAAATAGTGCTCAATACATCAATTGTAGAGAGATATAGAAATGCCACTGTTAAAATAGGGCGCAATGCATCAATTGTAGAGAGATATAGAAATGTCCACTGTTAAAATAGTGCTCAATACATCATTTTAGAGCGATATAGAAATACCACTGTTAGAATAGTGCTGAATATATTAATTGTAGAGCGATATAGAAATATTAAAACAGAATTTAAAATAAAAAGTCGTTGTTCACGCTATGAGATCTTCAGACAACTGACATATTTTCAGCCTGCGTCCTACTGAAATTTGTCTCCTCTATAAAATTTATGAAATGAAATGTGAAATCCTGTAGCTTCAGATAATCTATTTTGAAGTAAAAAGTAATGAAAGGTTTCCCCGCTCTGAATTATGAAATAGAAATTATAATTTTAATAGAATGAAAGAATTAATGTGAAACCTTTGGCATGAAATTTGGAGATTAGAATGATAAATAGTATTAAAATGAATAACGGTAGAATGAGATTGACTTTTAATTATTGGAGGAGTCAACCTGTTACCGTTTTAACTGTCTAGATCAATATCCACATTGACGGATTAGATATCGTGCCTTACTCGTTTTAGATTACAGGACGTAAAACTTCGCTTCATTTACTGTCCGAGCGTGATAACATATAGGAGACAGGGACTTTAGAAATGACGTCAAACTTTCATATATCGGATAACAGAGAAAATGAATTGGTTATTTTGTTAGAGTGTATGAGGCTAATAACATATAGGAGACAGGGACTTAAGAAATGACGTTTTGGATAACAGAGAAAATACATTATTTTGTAAGAGTGTATCAGGTTAAATCTTTTAACAGAACCCCCCCCCCCCTG